GCAGGCAGGGTCGCGGGGATGGGCGCTGCAGCAGGCAGGGGTCGCGGGGATGGGTGCTGCAGCAGGCAGGGATGGGCGCTGCAGCAGGCAGGGATCGCGGGGATGGGCGCTGCAGCAGGCAGGGATCGCGGGGATGGGTGCTGCAGCAGGCAGGGGTCGCGGGGATGGGCGCTGCAGCAGGCAGGGATGGGCGCTGCAGCAGGCAGGGTCGCGGGGATGGGCGCTGCAGCGGCGGAGGCGAGGCGCGGTGATGGATGGCTGCAGCAGCAGCGGCGATGTGTCGGCGGGCCGGCAGCGCTGAGTCACCGCGCACAGCCCCCCGCCCGTCCCCGCAGCGAGCGCTGCCGCCGGCTCCTGCCGCCGAGACCAATTACAGCCCGCACGGATAGGAGTTAGGGGATTTAGCGAAAAGGCACATCTTTGCTGAGTACACGAGCAGTGGCTGGGTACGGATGCTCCTGTTCCCTCATGCTTTTGGTGCAGAAGCTGTCTCATCTGCTAAATGTGTTGGTGGTAGAGCCTGTGCTGTGCATTAGGCGTGAGGCTTGGATGCTGCTTAAAAGCTGCTTCAAAGCCACAAATCAGCAGAGAATTGGGTTGCTAGGATTTAATCTTGCCGTGGAATTAAGGAAGCCTTACCCACCAGGTCGCATTTTCCATCTTGGAAGTGGTGAAAAATGGCACACGGCTTTTTGCCCTGTAGTACATCTATTTTACCCCTTGACACAGGGAGCACTGAGCAAATAAAAGTCATACCAGGTGCTACCTGGGTCACTGGGAGAATCTCACCCAGGCTAAATTAAAAAAAAAAAAGATAAATAAATAAAATGGAAATGCCATCATCCCTCCTTTCCCGATCCCCTGCCAAGGCATATCCAGTGCAGAGCCCGTGTTCCTGAGAACAATCTGTTCTCACAGCTCCCAAACACAAGAGGAGTACCCGAGGCTGGGTTGCTGCCAGGACTGATAGGATGCGTGGAATGAATGATCCCCATGGGAAAACAGCCCTCTGTGGGGTTACATGGTAACTGGCTGCCTCCCTCCTCCTCTCCCACACACCTGATTGTTTTGCAGTGTTCACAAAGCATATTTGTTTGAGTGTCTCTGCACTGTTATTCTTACTTACTTTTCATTTTCGCTTACAATCCTTTTCTAACCTATGGCAAGGGAGCCACAACATGGTTGCTGTTACTGCTACAAGCCTGTGCATCTATCTTATAGGGAGAGGGAGGTACCTCAATTTGGGTTTTTTTTTTTTCTATTTTTAAAAATTGACCTCAGAATAAAATTCAACCTATAAAATTTAAGTCTGAAGCCAAGACAATAATAATTAAATGTGGAAAAAGTTTGCTTCTAGAGATTGATTCAAAGTTTCCATAAAGAGAATGTAGGAATTGTTAACATTACCGGATCATTGCATTATACCATAGTATAAAATTAAATAGAGGGGCTTTTTACACTCCTCTCTACTGCAGGTTAGACCTGTATATTGAAGGGGAACTGCTGAATTTCCTGAATGAAGCTGACATGAAATTCTGCTTCTCCTCACTAGAATCCCAGTGAAAGTTTTAGGCACTTAAGTTGTTGTGCATAATTTTCATGCCTCAACCTTGAAAGACACCATCCCTGGCTGCCCAGCTTCTCTCAGTTTCCAAATTATATGAATCCCCTCACTCCGGTGGCTTCAGCTCACTCATTCTTAGCTTATTGATTTTTGAAGCGTGCCTTTCTAAGGTGCTGCACTTGCTGAACAAGAGGGGAAGGGAAAGGCCAAGTTAAAGGTTTGTAGCTATAGAATAAAGAGCTTTGGGTTCTTTGAGGGACCAAACTGGTAATCAGTTTCTAGATAAAGTGTGTGATGAAGCATTCCTCAAGATTTATATATTGCATGTGTGTGATGTTGCTCGCTGACTGAAACATGTCTTAAAGTTGTTTTAGTTCCAGTGTTGAAAATTCATATGAGGAAGCACTGAAAACAGTTTACAGCTCAGTAGCCTCTCTGATTTATATCAGACAGGAAGTAGAAGGTTACTCTTGGGCACCTCTATGTTTTATTCAGTAGGCACTCTCTTGCCTGTTGTTATTCTGAGGCTTGAGTACAGACATAGGAATTATGGGCAGTGCTGGAATATCTTAAATTATTTCTGGTCACTCAGTGACCTTCAGTTCCATGGGCTCAGGTCATGTCCTGCACCATTGTCTTGGCCTCACCTTAGGCTACAAATCTTGTAGCACAATAGTCTTGATCTCCTGTTGACTGAGTGAGAGGAGAAATAAGACTATTTATTTTTCATATATTAATATTCAAGGATATGTTATTTCCTTGGGCTTAACGGCGCAGAATGAAATCATTAATTCTTTGCTTAATTGCAATCCCTAAACTTGATACAGTATTGCAGTGTCACAGTATCACATTATGTGACAGTTGTAACTGAAGCTTGATTGATTGATTTTAAAATGAAGGAAAATATAGAGGGCAGCAAGTTGAGCTTCTCTCTCCTGATCATATTGCTCTTTGTGCAATACTGTCTAATTATTCTAGGGTCCCAATTCAGAGCTCTGGGTTGTCTTCTGGCACAGGTGTGAGGCTGTTTCTCTTGCTACAATGTGCTTTGAAGGTGCCTCAGCTATGCCAGTAGTAATACGTCCATAGGGATGGTTTGCTCCTTGAGAGGCAGTTACCAGAACATGTGGTGCTTTCTTACATTAAGTCTTTTCTGTGATGGCCAGAGCATTTGTCTCAGGGATGGTCCAGGATCTGAGACAATGATTGTGCTGGTGCCTCTTACCTGAACATCTTTCTCATTTTCAGCTACACAAACAAGTGGAGCACAATTGGCACAAAATGAGAGTTTGGATTCTGCATCTACTACAGGACAGTCTTTTTCTTCTACAGTGTCTCCAAAAGGAAACACTTCTGCTTCTGGAACCCCAGGTAAGGCTTGGAAACATGCATTTTCTTTCTCTATACAAGCAGTTAAAAGGATGCAAATAATTTTGAGTGTTTTCTTAATTTGCTGTGCATTGTGATTGAAATGAGGACCACATCACCTTATTCATGCAGGGTACACTGTGTCCATGTCACCTAGCCCTGAAGTTGTGTTGAGTGATGGGTGAACTTCCAAACATTCAGTTGAGATACGTGATGTCATTACAGGAGGATATAAATTACAATAATAGTAATCTTCATATATGCTGTGTGAGGTCATTGTGTAGCATTGACTGTCAGAGGAGGTCATCAAGATAAATTCCCTGGCTGCAGGGCAGACGAGACAAAGAAGAAAACAGCTATAACTTCTGTAGTTGTTAAAAAACATGGAGAGAAATTTAATGCCTATTACCAATTAAATGATGTTGTTTAAAGTACATCATGGTCACATACAAGGTCAAAAATGTATCAATTCTTCCCAACTCAAGTCTGGTCTTACTTTTTTTCTGGGTGTGTTTTGGTCTGTGTATTCACTAAGAAACACTGTGGGGAATGCAGATGCCAGGTCATATGAATGATCATTTTTTATACTTCTAGCTGGCTTAACTTTCCTAGGTTTTGAAGAACCACTTTTTCAGGTTTGCTTAAGGTCTCTTGGGCCTTCAGTTCATTTAGTACTTATTCTTAGCTACATATGTGTAAATCCAACAAGGACATTCTCTTTGTTTGCATATCCCTATTATTAATAGTATTAATATTATTAATAATGTTGAGCATTATTAATAGTAATGCTCAGCATCCCCTAAGGGGTACAAGACTCTTTGTGCAACCTCCAGATTGTGTTTGTGTGGGACATAAGCACATGTGTGTGCTATGATTTTTTCTCATAAAGGATAGGATTGGATATAAAAGTAGAGCAATATGCTCAATGTGCACTGAAATGCTTAGAAGCTTGCAAAGAGATTGCAAGCATTTTAAGAAAGTTAAAGTCAACCCAAGGCAACTGATTCAGAGAGAAGTCTTTGCAATTTTTTCAAAAAGCCCATTCCCCACAATGCATATACTGTGAGCTGTGGTTACTTGACTTCTCTGTTAGGTTTCATGTCTTTTGGCAAACACAGGCATTTTACGGAAACCTCACCATTGCTATACTGCAATAAAACAGTAAGTTACAACATTTTTAATTAAAAGGTTTCTCACTCAGGTAAATTCTCCAGGTTAATATTAAATTGTGCTGCATATCTGACTATGCATCATGTGTATTGAATTACCTATTGTGCTGTGTATACAATTACATTTTACACTTTAAATTTGTCAAGAAAGTTTTACAACCTTCCTGGGGTCTGTTTGCAAAAGCCATCATCTTACTCAGCTTACTCTGCTGTAAAACCAATAAATCTTCCTGAGCTCAGAGACTACCCAAGATGCCAGAACTATAATTGCCTGGCTGAGACAGAAAGAATCCATCCATCCAGGGGCAGTCAGTCTAGGAATCACTGGCATAGCCAGTGCTCCAAGTTCCCATAAAACTGCCATTTCAAAATCACTTCTGCCCACACCAGGATTTCCACGCTATCACCTTTTCTGTCTTCTCACAGCACCAGCCCCTGGCTTGTTTCTTGAAGGCTGTATATGCAAGAAATCCCCTTTCTCACCCTGATGTGTTAGGTAGCTTATCCCAAATGGTTAGACCACCCTTGCTCTCTTTTTCTCTGTATGTGTTAAAAGCTTAAAGAAAAATGTCTTGGTTCCTTCTAAACAGATTTCTTTTTCTCTGTGCTCAGGCCCAGGGAAAGCCATATGCTGTGCCCTAATAAATTTAAGGCAAGTGTGAAGCCAGTTGTTTCATCCTGTGCTGAGACCAGAGGAAATGCCACCTCTCTCACTGCCATTAGATTATTAATTTCTAGGTCTCCAGAATTTTACCTTCAGGGGCTGGGTGCCTTTTGTTCACCAGAGCAGGGGTTGGTGTGTGCCAAGGCTGCAGCCCATGGGGGATAGAATAGCTTGCAAGCTGGAGGTATCTGAGACATGTATTCTGCGAGGGAGCTCAGGGGAAGACAAATTAATGTGAAATGGATCCAAACAAGAACATTTCTATTTGGTATGCCCAACCAAAATAATCCAGCTGGCTAAATATGTTTAGTTTTGAAACCATTTTCCATTTAAAAAAAAAATGCCATTTTGGTGAAAGTTTCCTTTCTTGATGCAGAAAAGAAAGCACATTTTGCAGTGAAATTTCCAATCAGCCATATCAAAAGATCAGGGTGTGGGAGGAGTGCTAGAGAGAGCTGGAGAGCAACTGAGATGAGTGGGGGAGCCTGGGAGAGAACATGTAGGAACTTCAGAGAACAGAATTGCTGTATTAAAGGAGATTGAAAGCACCAGCCACAGAGGAGGTGCTGCGTAGGGCTCACCCAGGCTAGAGGAGGCAATAAGGACTGTTTTAAGCAAAGAGAGCCACCTGCATGCGTGCCATTGACACATGCACTTCTTTAACTTCGGCTGTCATGCAGAATATACCTCCCACTCCTCCTCCACAGAGGATTGCTTGCTAATATTTAATTTTCTCCTTTTGTTTAATTAATGAAAAATTGGAGATTAGAGTCTAAATACATCTGAGAAACTGCAAGTATTAAGGCTTTTTATTCTGTGATCTAAACAACAAAAAAAAATCTATAAAGCAGTACGAGCTTAAGTTCACCCAGCAGGGTGGTAAGATTAAATGATCTATTATAATAAACTGTCAGATGAATCAACCTTCTTCATCTATTGATATCTTTATTGCACTCCTCCAATTATAAATCCTACTCACTTGATTCACAGGAGGCATCTCCCTAAGAAAATTTTTATGAGTAAGACTAGTAGGGTTTGACTCTTTCTGTACACAAACTGCAGGAACTCTTGATACTGATATTAGATAAAAATTACCCACTGTATCTTGAGCTGCTTCACAAAGAGAGAGACACAAAACCAGAAGTTTCTGGGAGATGGAAAGCATAGCAAAGCCTCAGTTGACACTATTACAGATCTATGGTGTGGTCAAGGCAAGAAAGGCTTGTTCAGATTTTTAATTTTGCCTTGATTTATATTGTGGTGCATCCCCTCTGAGTAATCAGCCAAATGTATTCATTTGTTTTGCCAGTGAACACAGTTGGATGTGGCTGCACTCCAAAAAACAGAAGTTGCAAACTGCAGGGTATCCAGGCTGCTTAGGTAGTGGCTGTTGGAGAACAGAGTGGGAGAGTTTAGTTATTGGTCTCTTCCTCCATCTGTCGAGCTTCTCACCAGTGCTGAACTGACTCAGACAGGTAATTTCAAACCAAACCATAGTCATGTGCCAAATTTTTTATCCTTGTCCTCCTTACTGCACAAGGAGGAACCCAGCACAGCCAGTGTTGCACACCTCATCTTTTATGATGAATCTGGAAATCTTCCCAGATTATTTATGCAGAGCATCTTGCTAGCAGCCCCAAAGGAGGCAGCAAGCTCTGTACAGGCAGCTAGAGCAACTACAGTAACTGTTACCAAGTGAAATGCTGCTTTTCCTTCTGTCCTTCTCTTTCTGCAGAACAGCAGCATGTGAGCCCACACCAAAAAGGGCACTGGATGATTATTTAGAGAATGCAAACTGAAAGCACCTGCTGAATCACTTGGATAAGCACAGCTTTGTTTGTGTGGCAGGACTGAGCGATCTCTGAATAGAGGGTGAGCTGGTGCCTTGCTTGTTTACTGGAGACAGGGAGAGAGAGGAAGGCATGAGATTTTTCCCATTTAATTTTTCATGCTCTAGCAAAACCTGGGTGAGATACCTTCCAGAAAGAAGATGGTAGTGTTATTGTGTGTAGGTGTGTGCAGTGGCCAAAAAATAACAGAGGTCTAGAAAGAGAGGGGCAGGTGGATGCTGTCAGGTTTTCCCCTGGGATAATTTCTGCTGTCTGGGTTTATAGAAGAGGCAAGGTCTGGCCAGGACAGCTATATGGCTTTTGGTTGTGCCAGTGGGTACTGAAGCACATGTCCCTCAACTCTTCCTGACTGAAGAAGTTTATGTCACCTGTGCTTCTGTTACCTGCATTCAGGTTCAAAAAACTGTTAACTCTTTGAGATGAACTTGGGTATTGGTCTTGGGCTTAATATGCTTTTTCTATGTACTTATTTGTTTTAATTTGAGTCAAGATGCTTCATCTAGTTTGTAAGAATGAATGTAAGGGAAAATGTTCAATTATGTTATAATGTTGGAGCTCTTGCAAAGAAAAGTTCCACAGACTTGAGTGACAAGGTTCAAAGTGGATTCACAGAGAAGTGACCTATTTGTAAGACTTGACAAAATCCTCTGCCTTTCTTCAAGAATATGCACAACACAGGGCCTTGCAGTTTGCTAGTTTGCCCACATGCTGTGTGATCACATGGTGTTTTTATCATGGCATCCCACACCTTGCAGGCTGAAGGAAAGGAAGTATTCTGGTAATAAGCAATCATATCATATTTGGATGTTTCCTTAATGCCAGGTATGTGTCCTCCTGCATTGTGTACTGTGTGTTGTTCCTTTGACAAGTGATTTATTAACTTCCTAAAGGCTTTTGCTTGGTTTTGTTGGTAATATTGACCAAACATGCTATAAACATAGCGTAATGATTCATCACAGAGATCCTTTTAGAGTACAGTGATATTGGTGTTTGCAGATGGATTGATGAGATGACAAAAAGCTTAGGAAAAGTCTCCTCTGCATTCTAGGAAGCCAGGGTGAGGTAACTGTATACATTCGGGACACTTAGCATTACAAATATTTAATATGTTCAAGAAGAGTTCTTACTGTTGATTTTTAAGTACTTAGCTTTTCAACATAAACATACTTCTCATGAACATTTGTGATTAAAATGCAGTTTTAATTTTGTCACATGTACGATTAGCAAAAGCAGTTATTTGCACCCCAGTGGCTGAAGTGATCCATGATTTTAATTGTGTCTAGAGAGAAAGAAAAACAAGAGCAGCATTCTGGTTTTCAAAGAGTATGTTCACAGCAATAGAACAATGTGTGTTACAGCTCTGTTGGTAGGAGCTGTCTTTATGCACAGCCCAGAAGGTGTAGTGAGGGTCTAAGGGTGGATTTGTGCTCCCTGAGGAAACTGGTTTAGAGGAGCACTGCAACCTGGGCAGTCAGGGGACAGGCTTAATGCCTGCCTGGAGTTACAGCTGCCTTCAGGATGCTGCCTCTGTGATCCCCTACCCTGGCACAGCTGGGACAGAGAGGAGAGGCCACTCTAATTTCCAAGCCTGCTACAGTCTAGACACACAGGAACAGCAACATGCTAAAAACAAACAAACAAAAAAAAAGTTGTGCACCAAAAACTTGTGAAGTAGCTGGGGGAACTGACAGTAGAGCCAGTAAGCATTGCGCTCAGTGCTCTGTAAGGTCAATTTCTTCCTCATTAGCAATGCTTCTTGTTTCTGCTGCTTGGCAGTCTGCTAGCCAGAAGCACCAAGATAATAAACAAAGATTTCTTTTTAAAGGGTCTTGAAGATGTGTCTCAATTAGTTTCTTTTATTAAAACACTTACTTGTCAGTTAAATGTCAGCTATTCACTCCTAGGCACTTTTTTGATTTTGGAAGGAGGAGTTTTTAAGGAATGTATCAATTAATTCAGGATTTTCTTCTCTTGAGCAGAATAACAACCTAGCATAGACTGTATTCTGCTCCCATCTGTAAGGGATGGCTGGAGACTTTTACAACTCAGATTTCTGGCTTGGGAACAGTGTTAGCATGTCACTTCTGGGGCAGCATTTGTTGTGGGTGTTACCAAGCATGTTCCTAAAGTCTGCCCGTTTCCATGATGTGAAGACTCTGGACATCTAAACCAGATTCTAACAAGCCTATTCTTTCTGTTTTATTGCAGGTCTTCACATGATCTCGCCAACAACTTCAACAAGTAAGAGCAATACAAGGCTGGTGTGGGGTGGGAGAAAGACAGCTTGAGGAAAGGGAACGTTCAGGGAGCAAGAAGGGTCTAAGGGAATAACGTACCTGAAGTACAGAGCAGAGGAAGAATGATGTTCAGCTTGTAGCATTGAGTCATTTGCTGTGATTTCAGCTGAGTACCATGTTGGACTGGCAGATACTGGAAAGAAAACAGGGTGGGACCAGGAAAAAGGGAAAAAATCAGGCCTGGTATATTACATGATGCAATGGGAAGCTGTTATAAATAGAGTGTTTACCAAGGAGCTTGTTCTTGTTAGTGGCTCTTGTTCCCCGTCCTGTAGTGAGAAGCAGCAAATCCCAGAGTAAGGCAAGTTTCCTGTGCTAATGAACCTGTATTGTCCTATTTTCCTTTCTCTGGGTTTATCAGGAAACGGTCTCTTCTGTACTGGTCCCTGAAGTTCTTGTTGCTGCTGCCTGCAAAATCTTGGCCATCCTGTTCCATGATGGATGTATTTCTCCAATTCATTTTTATTCTGATCCCAGATTATTCCATAACTGGAAAATATCTTCCAGATCCAGACAAACTAGACAGGAGGGGCTGACTTGTGAGACACTTCAATGAAAGAAGTGGAGAAATGACCTTAAGGTTTTAGTTCCTTACTCTGTTTTATTCAGTAATGTTTCTTTTCAGCTGTCATATTTCTTATTGATGGTCACAAGCAGTTTAAATGCTAACCTATGGATTTTTCTTTCCTTCATTACTCACATCTTGGTCAATTAACAGATAACCAGGAAAAAAAACCAAACAAACAAACAAACAAAAAACAGTGGTTTTCAGTCCTCAGTTTTGCCCCTGAGGAGAGGTACACATCTCCTGCACAAATGTGGGAATACACATTCCTGTTTTTCAGTGCAGTTTGTTTCTGTTGACATTTCCAGTAAGTATCCAGGGTAACTCATTGCCGTGATAGTTGCTTGCTTGCTCTGGCAATTGGTAGTATACCAGATAAAGTAACAAAAAGGCAGTGGTATTTCCTTGGGAAATTTGAAGCAATCACATGGAATTAAGAATGCATAGGAATTCTTTTAGTCACTTGGTGATAGCTCAGTTTCCAGCTTTACATTATCACCCCTCAGCAGACAGGCACCAAGGGAAAGAGAACTTCTGCTTTAAAGAAACAGTGATTTTTCAGAGATAAAGTCTTGGACAATGATTGTTTCCTGCACTATAGCATCAGAAAGTCTCAGCTGTGACTGTATTGTTCAAGCACCACACAAACACTTTGTAAGTGATCATTTTCCCCAGGAGGCTTCTGTCTGTGTCTAGACAAATGAGGGTAGAAGAGTGGGGAAGGGGGAAAGTAAACAACCACCAAAACATTTTTTAATATTGAGTGTGAGTTTAAAATCAGTTTTGCAAGAAGAAGAATGCCTACATGATTGGGACAAACAAATCTTATTTGTTACTGTAACTTCATGGATTACAGTTACAAGTACTGTCTGCATAAAAATTTCTGTAAAAATAAGGACATGTCTTCCAGACAGTAGAACAGAATTGTATTATATACCTCAAAATGGCCATAGGATATTTGTTTTAATGATTTAATTAATTTCATAGCTTCCACCCTACAACTTGAGCCCCATTCTGTTCTTGGGAAGAGAAACCATGCAATCCCACAGGTGTGGATTGTGAGTAGGTACCTGACCAACAACACCTCAGTGGTTGTCTCCATGTTCTCACTATATATAACCTCTGCTAGGACCCTTTTTTAAAGATCATCTTCCCCAGACACCTTTGTTTGAGAGCCACTTCTGATATTTAGCCAGGCAATGGAAATGCTTGACCTTGCCTCACATCTGTCCAGCCAGTTGGCTCCTTCAGAGGCAGTGAGCCCTTGTTTGCTCGAGCTCCATCCAATATGAAATGCAATCCCATGTGCTATATAATGTACCTAGGGAAATGCCAATGTTTGCATTTTCTGTTCTCTCTCTGGAAGTTCAGTGATTGTTTTTTCATAGGTTGTATGCAGCAAGGTCATAAATATTTGCATTGTTGATACCTGACTCAAATTCAGATTAGCATCTGAAGGTAGAAATGTATTCCTTTAAACCTAGTCCTAAAAAATGTCTAAGAGGCTCACAACATTGCTCTCTCCAAATGGGGCAGAGAGCAGACACATTCCTCTATAACAACAGTCAAGAAAACTTGCTATCTACTAATATTGCACCTCAGACATCTTCATCTACTATAAGCACTTTTTTTTTTTTAATTAGCAGTGAAATATTTTGGTCTTCTATTGGAGACAGGTTTAATTTTCACCCTCTTTCTTGTTTATTTATTTGTTAAAAATTCTCTTGTAATGTAGAATAGTACTCTAACCTCCTAAAGTGAAAAAGTTTGTAGCTCATAACCTGTAAGTGGATAAGCAGAGGATCTTAGGGAAATCTGTACCCATAAAAAGTGTGTGTTTCTTTAGGCCATGCTAGATAAACTTTTCCACCCCTCTTGGCAAGTTATCCAAGTATTATTGAGAAGAAATATAGATGTGAAGCACCAAGTGAAGCTCCAGAACTGGAGACACAGAAGTTGTTTTGTGAGGGCAGTTTTGCAGAGGGAGCTGTCAGGGAAATTCTGGCAATTCATGTCTACCTGAAAGGCATTATTTCTTTTGCAGAGCCAACTTCTGAAAGTCCTAAAAGCAGTTCTGGAAACCAGACTCATACAGGGAGTAATATCAGCTATTCTAGTGAGTATTCTTACCTAATTGTTACACTTTTGAACTTTCAGTTTATCTGTTTTGCTTTTGATGAGTGGTTGGAGTAGTAGACAAATGAAGCTGGAAGTTTTATTTCTAGCCTTACCAGACTTAGACCCTATTAGAAACCAAATTTAAATGCTGGTTATAAAACTCCTCTCAGAGAGAGCTCAATAAGTTGACACCTCTCACTGTAGAGCAGCACAGTTACTCCCAAGGACCGATTCAAAGTGGTGAAATGGAAAAAAAATACAAACCAAAAAATAGTCATCCCCTGTGAGAGAAGACACAAGGGAACATATGATATGAAAAAGTTGCTCATATACATGTTGTACATATTATATGAATGTATTGTTGTGAATATATTATATGAATATATTATTCATATTGTCATGGGGAGAAGGTCTAGGAGGCAGCCTTCTGCAAACCCTTTTAGCACTTGATATTTGCATGATGCATGGTACTTAATCTTTCATTTTAATATTGTGCATATTGTGTTGTTGCAGCTTTGCTATTTCCAACCCAGAGTACTGACTAAGCAAAATATGTTTGATGTTTTCCCACTGTAGACTGTCTCCCTCTAGTTCCACAGATGCACTCTGTATGAATATTAAATATTAATTGCGTCAAGAGCCATTGAATGCAGCCTCCCCCTGACACAGGGCTTAGGCCAGCAGGCAAGAGAGTGCCTGCTGAATTTGAATGTGGCCAGTTGCTGCCAGAGAAATTATAAAAAGGGAGAAGCTGGGCTTATATATTTCCCAGGGAAAGCTTCTCTTCATTACATAATTCTTTCCTTTTTTTGCTTCTTGGCTGGGAAACACCTGTCAGGAAATGACAGATGGTGGGAAATAATAAAAGGAAAGAAATGTCTTCATTTTAAAAGGAGATCTTGTATTTTCTATCCCTGGTTTTAAGTGCTGTAGGGAATGTTACTGAATTATGTAATTCCTTGGTGTCTTTCTGGGTGCACAATGTTAAAAGCAAAATAATCACTTCAGTTGCTGAATTTCAGACTGCTCTTTTATTTTTCAAAAAAAGAGGAAAAAATAAATTGCACTTTTAAAAAAATATTTCTTGAACACAACTTACTCACAAAACCTTTGGAGACCATCAGCACTGGGTTGAATGATGAGTGTTTTCATCGAAATTAAGGTGTGCCCAGTGGAGCAGGTGCTGAAACCTTTTTCTTTTGCTGAAAAATGGGTGAAACCAGTTCCACAGGGCAGCATGAGTGTCTGCAGAGGAGTAAGGGTGGGAGAAGGAACAAGCCTGTCTTCCATCCACAGAGCATCCAAACCTGAGGCTCAGTGGCTGCAGGAAGAATATCAGGAGCAGGAGGTTATCATCTCCAGAGAAATGGGTCATTTTTGGTGAAGTGGAGCTGGAGGTGCCTCTCACTTTAGTGTGTGCAAGTACCTATACACAGAGGCAAAGTAAGTCAGAGGCAGCAGCCAAAATTATGTTCCCCCTCTTTTACAGATGTTATCTTGCCAATTGTCATCACCCTGATAGTCATTACCCTCTCTGTCTTCTCACTGGTGGCTTTGTACAAAATGTGCCAGAAGAAAACTCCAGGTATTTGGTTTGCTTTCTCTGCAAGGGGGGCAATCAATGTGCTTTTTATTATTAAAAGATCTCTTTTGGATTACCTTAACCATCACTGTTGTGGTAGTCTGATGGGAAAGCTTTTTGTACTTTGTGTTTTGCCTGAAGTGGGAAACTAACACTTAATTTTCAAAATCAGTAGGAAGACCAGAGTGAGCCAAAATGATTTTTGGAGAATAAATAATGCTGTAAAGCTTTTTGCTCATGCTTTTGCAGCTACAAAGAGCTAACAAACACCTGTGCTAACACAATCAATCAGAGAGAAATAGACAATGAAAAAGAAATTTGAAGATAATCAACAAAATCACTTTATTTATTTTATCTTTCTTCTAGATACAGGTAAAGAAATATCAATGTTTTCCTTTAGGATATATCTGATACATACATACATACTCATAGGCACATTATGCACAAGTAACATTTTCCAGTTACAGTAAAAATGTGCATGGAGCAAAATGCCTGAACAAACAGCATTTTCAGAAATAGTAATTTTGACAAAGCAGCTAAAGACAGTATTTGTTTATCTGCTGCCCATTAAATACTTAAGATAATGGGTTATATTTCCATCAAAGTCCATTTGCCAAATGTTTCAGGGTTGCCCAAGTAGGCCACAGGTAAATGTAAATTTCCATTAAGTGAAAACGCAGATCTGATCCTGACTGTGGTTTTTCTGTCCCTGTGAGCTGGCATGAGTTAGGAGACCTGTGCAGAACTGTGAAATCACAGAGCCTTGGAAATACAAAATCACAACAGGGTGTTGAAGCTGTAAACCAAGACAAACAGTGTGTCACAACCAATTTAGCCAATGACATGGAAAAACAGACCCAGATAAACAGAGGAAGGTGTGATCCTTACTTAGGAAATTATGGAATATTCAGTCAAGAGATAAGAAGTGAGATGAAGAACATTTCCTTACCAGCCTCCCCTATGCACGAATGTCATCAGTCACTCTATTAGCAAACTCATTTGGAAGATAGAAGAGATATCTGTAGTGCTTCCTGTAGGATTTGCCCAGGTTTATCCAGTGCATTTCCCCTGTGCTTGGTGCCATGGAGTTGGTTCCATGTCTCTGATGTAACCCCCTGGCCCCTTCCATCTGCCCACACTTGCACATAAGCATAAAATGTATTCAGCATATGATTCATTTTGGAGACAAACCTGTTCCTCATCGATGGGGATGACAAACTGTTCCCAGACATCATGCCAGGCTGTACCCCCAGGGGGTACAGTCTCAGGAACACCCTTGTTCCCTCAGTACCCTTACCCTGTATTTTTTAGCTCAGCTGTTGTGTGCTTGAGAACCATTGCATCTCACATCCTCTGTGCCAGCTACCCAGGGATTTGGGAGCTGCAGGGAAAAACTTGCTTCTCTTGTGCTCCTGGACAAGCCAAATGTCATTCTCCCTGGTTTCCAGAAGTGTCCCTACAAGCAACATCAGTTCACTCCCATGGGTGACCAGAAAAATAACAATTGCTATTCAAGCTGGTTGATTGTGTTTATGAACTTAACGCAATACTGCAAAATTACAGCTGAGCCTTCTGCCAGCAACTGCAATAGCTCTGTCTAAATGTTTGGGGTTTGAGTTCCAGCAATCAAAATTATATTAATTTTTTTCTTCTTCCAGAGAGACAAGAGAATGGCGCTGAACAGTAGGTTGAATCCTTTTTATTGCTTTGAGATCTATCACAGGGCACTTGTAAATGCAGCAGATTTTGCATAGGATTTTCTTTGATCTTTCTCTGTTTAAATATTGTAATCAGTTGCCATCCCAAAGAGAAATATCCTGTTGAAAGTGCTGCACTTGCAGTTATTGTAGACCTGTATACATGATAAGCAGCTGTTTCAGCATGGATAGAAATGTGGTGACTCAACTGTTTTGCAATCGATCCTTTTGAGATGGATTAAAAGCTTATGCTGTACCACATTGGCCCAGTTTTTTTTTTTTTTTTTTTTTTTTTTTTTCCCTATTGATCCCTCTCCTTTACCCCTGTTTTTTTTCCCACCCCCTTCTTTTGCTCATGTTTTCTCTCTTTTTAATGTGTTTCCTTTTTATTCTGGATCATTTATATATATTTCACTTGTTCCCCATTATATCATGTTCTTCTGTCCCATCTTGTTTCCACTAGACTATTTGCATAGGCTCAGTTGAAATAGTGGCTTAAGGAGTGTGAGGAGAGGGAAACTGAGAAAGATCCATTAGAAGACACAAATTAAAGGCCATGGAGCCTGGGAGTGGCTGCTTGCATGACCAAAAGCAACATTTAAGCTGCTGGTTTACTTGGTAGCCCTGACTCCCTGGACCTCTGAAGTGGTCCTTCTTTGTAACTATACATGGCTAAAAGGTTTTCATTGACAGAAAAAATTATAACCCCTTTTCCTCCAGATGTACCTCTTCTGGGAAGTCCTAGGCTAAACCTGGAGTAATGGAACCTAATTTATCACATATTTTAAGAGGAAGGTATTTTCAGGGATGTTGTCATTTTCCCCCACATGACCCCATGCAAAGCCCAGTTTAATCCTGCCAGTTTAGACTGGAGTAGATGCTGCCTCCTCAGGACCAAAATCTTAGAGTTTTGTTTGGACATGACAAACGTGTGCTGACTGCCTAAATGTTTTCTGACTTCAACAGGGCCCAGTCAGATAAAGACGGAGTCAAACTTCTTTCTGTGAAGACAACTTCTTCTGAGACTGGTGAGGGTTTCATTTGTGTGTATATCTGTTTCCCTGTCTGAGCTCAGTGAAAAACCATTTTTGGGATGTCATTCCCAATAGCAAACCCATCTTTCCTGTCATGTCAAAGTCACTGCAAACAATTCTTCTACAGAGTGAATCCCCAGACTGTGATTCTGTAGAGCTGCTGTTCAGCTGTACTGTGTGCGCTGTCAGTATTTGGGAGTATGACTGGTATGAGAAGTATGACTGGTTTAGGAAAATATTTTATTTAAATCGCTGATGGTAAGTGATCCAGCTAGGGATACTCAGGAATAACAGTGATCCTGGTATTTATCAGCTAGATCTGGCTGTACAAGGAAGTTTGAAGACTGATAATATCATAAGCACAGCATGTTCTGACTTGGAAGGGACCCTCAGGTGAACTTAAGTGAATGGCCTATGTGAAGATCAAACTCACAACCTTAGTGTTATTATTACTGTGCTCCAAACAACTGAGCTAATATCCCAAGGATCAAAAGGTTTGGGAGCCAGTGCTGTATGTAATCAGGGTTCTGTTGGAGCTGGTGTCAGCAGTGTTCAGTCAGCCCCATACTCAGTCACCCTTTGCATTCAAAATCCTACTCTCATTGCAAATCCTTCTGTCCTGTGCTTCAGGTTCTTACAAAATCTGTGGTAATAAAGCCTAAAGGAGCAAAGGTTACTGATAACATACACAAAAGAAAGAAAAATCTCAAAGCAAAAAGATTGATGCTGTTATAGATTCTGAAAAAAAATGGAGTGGCACAAAATAAGACTGAGGCAGAACAGAGTTCTGGCTAAATAACCAAAACCCCTGAATCTCTCATGGTAGAGCTAGTCGTGGTAAAACTTCACACCTTCATCCAATCCTTTCTCAGTCATGTAGGTCCCACCTCACCTGCAAAAATCCTTCTAGAAGAACAGTCTCTTACTTTCTACTTTTTAGGTATAATACTCTTCTTTTTGTAATGTTTTGAAGCTTTTCGGCCATCTGGTTCTCCTACTGACATTTCTTAGGATGACCAATAGCTGCTCTCTCCTTTTCTTCCAAATCCTTGGGAAGTCCTCTGAAATACAGCACTTCATCTGAACCATCCTCTGCTGGCTGGAGAGGCACAGTTCAGTCACTCCAGCCTTCTCTGCGACTCCCAGAAGCACTTGTGCAATCCAAAACACCCACAGGGCATCTCTGTCAGCCCTTGCAGCAAACCAGAGTTGTGCAAGGTCCCCATCCTCTTGACACAGAGCTAGGGGCTACAGGGGGACAGGACGCATCAGTTCCGTCCCACTGCTGCTGGGTAAAGGCAAACTACACTTAGGCACTTTAGAGGCCGCACTTCACAGCTTCATTATTTGGGATTTTTTTTTTTTTTTTGAGAATATCTTTGGGAATGGACTTTTAGCTTTATTTGGAGTATGGAATTGTGTGTATGTTTTCTTAAAATCATACTTTTTTTGTTTATTTGTTTTGAAAGCTGAATTAAGTTAGAAACTAATTAATGGGCTTTTTTTATTGATTCTGCCTTCATGCTGTTTCAAAAACAAAGTGACTTCATTGACAGTAGCAGAATTGTTTGTGGTTTAAAGCAGGGTAAATGGGAAAAGACACAGGCTCAGTTTTTGGGATTTTTTTCCCCCTTTTCCACAGTGTGAGCTCTGTCACCTGTTAATCAGCTACTGTTCACCAAATATTGGAGCATCTTCCATCCAGAGGATGCTTGATATTCTTTTTTACTGAACTATGATGTATACATGCTATAATTAGAAGGTTTAAGTCATAACCACTTAGAAGATTCTTGCCCTCTTCTCATTAATACAATTCATATTTAAACTAGCTGCCATTTTCTCTTGAATTCTTACATCATTATGTGTTTAAAGTTAAACCTGCTTTCACAGGAATTGAAGTCCTGCTTTTGCCTAGGTTTTTAGAGTCACTTCTTAAATTAACAGCACTCTGGCAGAAGGGTCTGTTTCTTCCAGAAATATTTGTCTCTCATACAGGAATTTAAAATATGTTAGCATGCCTCCCCATTTGACTCAGGTTTACTTGCTTTATTAAAAGCTCAGGCATAAATGCAGATGCTTTTCATGGTACACAAGAACTGCCTGACTCATGGGCCTTCTCACAGCTACTGACAACAACTGCCCTGCATAAAACTTCTTTACAGGTGTTATTCTTTTTCTTTCATCCAGCTGTTTAGAAAGTGTATGTTGTGGCTGTCTCTGTACATACCGACAAAACTACAAAAAGTAGTGAATAGAAAGGCTGAAATCAGAAAGATCTAAAGAACAGCCTTAATTTCACAGGCAGGGCTACATCATTCTCTCACTGTCAATAGGCAGCTCGTCCCTAAGGTCAAGCATATCTACAATTAAGTTCTGCTTTGATATGTATTCAAATTAAGCTTTATTACAAGTATACATTCTAATTTTTTTTTCTTAATTTTTGCTTTTCATTCCAAACAGAAGACTTTGAGATTGTAAAATTGTGTAAGATATATGCAGGACAACTAAGGACCTACAAAATGTTCAAGCAAGCAACCTAGAAAGACCCTGTGTCATTGTTGTGCATAGATCTTGATCAAAGGTTATGATGAGTTTAATCTTGCCTTATTTATCTGTCTAAAAACCATGCTAGCTGCACATAGTTGAAAGAGATGTTTGTGTCCAGAGGGCTGTTTATCCCATCTGCCTTGGACATCTATCTTGAGCTGGAATGGGCTGACCTGTGGCAGTCCATTGACTCCTGAAGGATCCTATTTTAGGACTTCTGAAATTGGGTTGTGAATATGAAATTAAAGAAAAGACTCCTTTTTCAGAGGCACAGCTGAATTAAATTTAATCAAGAATATTATTTCAAATACCTACAATTAATGTGAAAGACTGCAGGAAAAGAATAGTTTTCAATTAAGCCTGGACTAAAGTAATGTTTTTAATGGAGTAGTATCATCAGGAGAACTAGGTAAAATAGAGCTTTAATATTGTCTGCATTTTTATAACTCTTCTTAGAAAAATGGAATTGCTAATGGCCTTGAGCTCTAAGGCACAACTGGTGTAGAATGGATGTAAAGTATAAAACCAGAGAAAACTAAACTAGACTCAGAAGATTTTTCATGCATGTTTATCAGTGAACTGCAACACCTGATGCAAGATAAATGCCTGTTCTTGCATCTTACTTGAAAACTCACCTAGGATAAAAATAGTCTCAAAAGTTTTAGACTAATGTACAAATGCAGGACTTTATGGCAGCCATTTCATGTTGATGGTACAGGCAAATTTAGGTGGCTCTCCCTGGGGAGAATAAATGGTCTTTTACAATACAGTTTTCAAGAAAATCTACCTGCAAAAATATTTCTCTGTGATTCAACATGGCCCACAGAACTGCACACTTAGCTTGTCGGTGATAGTTATATTTCCTGAGAATATAAGCTGAAGGGTTTTAACTGGTTACTAAGAGATCAATACCATCACCCATGAGGTTAAAGTATTGCCTGTCTTGAAAACAGACCTAACTTCTTCTGCAAGGGTTCTTGTTTATTACGCTGAAAAACAGCAAAGTTATTGATCACTTTTTTAGGACTCATGAAGAATGTTGAGGGATGAAAATTTTTCAGTTACAAGAAGGTTGGTGAATAGAAACTTGGGTAAGACTACTACATGTGATAGATGTGTGATAGAAGAATTTATACCTGACTTCAGAATTTTCTTGTATGGTCCTAGCCTGGAATAACTGTTCTGGAGCAGGTAAAATGTGTCAAAGGCCTTTTTAGTAGAAACCCACCATTTCAATATTCAGTGTAAAGTCTCATAGGGATGTGCAGGTGACATAATATCTCAGACATGTTAGGTATTATCCTGGCACCTAAGTATAAACTGATCCAATAAAGCATGACTTATAACCAGACTGAGCTGTTTTGAGGTGAAAGGGTAGGATATGACTTACTTGCCTGTTCTCCACTAATTTGCTGAAAGGCTGTTAAATGTGTCAGATCTGAGGTAGCTCAGATTTTGGTGAGGCCCCTGAAATGGAAGGTGGCTGGCGGAGGATTTGTGGCACAGGTCTGCATTAGGGCTGCCCGAGATACCCACTGTGACCAAAAAAAAAAAAAGAAAATTTAAGCGTTATTAAACAGAAATGGGAAAATGTATCAGGCAAAGATGGATATTTGAGAGACACCTAACCTGTTCCAGTTGAAGCCCCTTTAACTGATGGCAATCACACTGGAGAAAGAGATCACTTAATACCTAGAGGTGCTCTCTGATGGTAGTGCAGTGCAAAGATAGCTTGAGCCAAGGAAGCAGGAAAACTTCTGTTCTCCACATCTCTTCCAAAAGCTGCTGCTGTTCAACAGTAATGGTGGCCTTAGAGCTGCTACCTGCTGCTTCAGCTGAGTGTACCTCAAGACAACCCACTGCAGTGCTAGGGCTTGGACATGGAAAATCCTGTGGTGCTCTGAAACAGTGTGGTCGGATGGCGATGTCTCCATTGCTGCTTTCCATAACCCTTCAAGTGCTGAGACTAATTGTTCTGCCTCACTCATCAAACCATAAATGTGGTTTTGATACAATGGGACAAATCAGGAGCTGGTGCAGACCTTGTTCCCTGTTATGCTGAGTACTGCTGAGCATGGGCCATGGAATTTAAAAAGGTAAGAAATATTTGGGGTTTACCTCATTAGGGACCCAACCCAGGGAAATTTACCCTTGTGAGGGGGCATGACTCCACAGCAGGCCATGAGGTATCTTAACATGGACTGGGACTTTGACCTCTTTCTCATTATGTCTGGGATCTGTATGGATCTAGGAGTAGGTGAAGAATCTGAGTCACTAGATGAGTCACTGTCAATGGGAATTCCCTTCCCTCTTCCACTCCTTGCAGGATAAGCAGTGTAGGTCAATGAAGAGCAGTCTGCTGGCATGGTGTGTGCTTAGGAGTGGTAAGAGCAAGTGCTCCTGCTAATGTAGGATATGATATTGATTATTTCTGTTTCCTAGTCTGA